TTAAGTTCAATAACAGCGTCATAAATTGACAACATGAGTACTACGTCACCGAGTCAGGAAGATGATGTCAAGCCGGAAGACTCGGTCAGTCAGTGCAGCCATACGACAAGCACCTCGTCCAGCAGGAGAGCCAGAATGGAGGCCATGGCGAGGAGTGCCGCACTTCAAGCCGAAGTTGAAGCTCTGAAAGAACAACAAGAGCTTGAGCTACAGGAATTGAGGCTCCAACAAAGGAGAACTGAGCTGCAAATGAAAACCAAGCTCAGCCGTGCCCAAGCGGAGGCAAAAGTTTATGCCCAGTTCGATGGTGAGAAGACAGGCAAAGTTACTCCATCTCCGTCCACAGCATCTTCCCATGTTGAAGACTCCCCATCGCAGCCCGATCCATCACCGCATGATGATGACACGAGCGATGACACAGTCCCATACCCCATTGAAGATGATCAATCATCGACGCCACAAGAAATGCCACCCCCTGCTGAAGCCATCAGCGAGATGTTGCAACAATCAAGACAACAGCAGCAGAGCCTCATTGAGACATTGCAGTTACCGAAAGCTGAGCTGATGTGCTACGAAGGAGATCCCCTAAAGTTCTGGGAATTTTGGAGAGCTTTCGAGGTGAATGTAGACAGCACAACGATAAGTGCCGCTGCCAAGCTGACAAGACTCCTTCATTACTGCAAAGGAGAAGCACGCAGAGTGATTCAAGCATGCTCTGTGATGGAGTCGACACAAGGTTACGCACGAGCTAAAACCTTGTTGAAGGAGAGATTCGGAAACAAATACAAAGTTGCTGATGCCTGGATGAAGAAAGTCACCCGAGGCCAAAGAGTGTCACCCCATGATGGAAAAGCCATCAGAGAGATGGCAGACGAGCTGAAAGTCTGCTACGAAACCCTCCAGGCTATGGGCTACGAAAACGAGATGGCACACCAGAGTTTCCTGAGAGACATTGTTGAGCGTTTGCCCAACTACTTGCGCTATCGATGGGTCCGAAAGGTCAGAGATCTCGAAAGGAAAGAAGATCGAATGCCGAAGGTGAAGGATCTTGTGGCCTACATAGATGACATAGCAGAAGAAGAGAACAACCCTGTGTATGGCGCATCTACTTGGGAGAGAAGCCGTGATGTTCCTCAGAAGAGACGCACTCAGCCACGACAGAAGGGGACCTTTGCAGTGGCATCTGCGCCAGAAAGAGAAGTCACCAAAGAGTGTTCTCTATGCAAGGGAGAACACACCCTTTTTGGTTGCCAGCAGTTCAAGGCAAAGTCGCCACAAGACAGGCTGAGTTATGCCAAGAAAGAGAGATTATGCTTCAACTGTCTGCGCAGAGGCCACTTAACATCAGCGTGCAGGCTCAACAGGACATGTACTGTTTCTGGTTGTGGAAGGAAACACACAAAATTCCTTCATATCCCGCAGACAGTGCAACAGCATGAAGGACCACCGTCACAAGCCAACACTTCACTAGATGCCCCGGTACAGAATAGCTACGTTGATTCAGCCACTGAAGCAAGTTTCAGTAACGTCACAGGGGCCGGCAGGACCGTGCTGCCAATTGTCCCTGTTCGAGTGAAGGCTGTTGGAGGCAGTGTCTTCATCCGCACCCATGCATTGTTGGACACTGGTTCGACAAATACATTTTGTACCGAACACTTGGCAAGACAGCTTGGAGTTGAAGGGGCCAAACAAAAGCTCAACCTGACAACACTTGACAAGATGGGCAGCTCCATAGACACCACAAGAGTGAACTTGATTGTGGACTCGGGACCAGCCACGGACCAAATAGAGTTGCCAAATGTGTTCACTAAACACAAGATCCACATTCAGAGTACCCATATGGCCAAGATGGAAGAGATAGCTGGACTACCCTACCTGCAGGGTATTGACCTACCGTTCGCAAGTGAGAAGGAAGTCGGACTCCTGATTGGTCAAGATATTCCGAGAGCACTGATGCCTCTGGAATAAGAAGAGGAAGCGCAAAGGACGGACCCTATGCCGTGCGAACAGCATTGGGATGGTCACTACATGGTCCAGTGAACAAAGTCGGCACAACAGAGCTGAACACTCATGTTACCTCTACCTTCATTCAAGGAGACATCGGCCTGGAAGAACATGTTCATAAGTTTTGGAAGCTGGAAGCAACAGATACGCTACATGATGACAGAGGCATGTCAGTGAACGACCAAAGAGCTCTGGAGATGTGGAAAGGTGGAATAAGCATTGATGGAGGACATTATCAGTTGCCAGTGCCATCCAAGCGTCATCCTCCACGCCTACCAAATAATCGATGGTTAGCAGAACAGAGGTTGCAGAGTCTTGCAAGAAAGCTCAGCAAAGATGACAGTCTCCGTCGTAAGTACCAAGAAGGCATCGAGGACTTACTCAAGAAGGGGTATGCTGAGGAAGTAGAGAAACAAGAGTGTCAGTCTGAAGATCGGGCTATATGGTATCTTCCTCATCATCCGGTTTTCCACCCCATGAAACCCGACAAACTACGCATCGTGTTCGATTGTGCAGCTAAGAGCGGAGGCGTGTCTCTCAATGATGAAGTTCTGCAAGGGCCAGATCTGACAAATAAACTTACCGGAGTCTTGCTGAGATTCAGACGGGAACCAGTGGCCTTCATGGCAGATGTGGAGGCCATGTTTCACCAAGTTCGAGTGCCAGCGGAAGAACGAGATGTGTTGAGGTTCCTATGGTGGCCATCTGGTGACATGACTCAACAACCAAAGGTGTATAGGATGTGTGTGCACCTGTTCGGTGGAACCTGGAGCCCCAGTTGCTGCAATTTTGCACTGCGCCAAACAGCCGATGATAACCAAGACGAGTTCAGCGCTGAAGCTGTACAGATTGTGAAGCACAATTTCTACGTTGATGACTGCCTGGTTTCTGTCGAGAGTGAAGAGAAAGCTGAGAATCTATCAAACGAGCTGAGAAATCTGCTGCAGAAAGGCGGATTCAAATTGACCAAATGGCACAGTAACAAACCAAGTGTTCTGAAGTCCATCCCTACCGAGGAACGATCCAAGCAGTTGAAGGGTCTTGACCTAAACCTTGATGCTCTACCCGTTGACAGAGCCCTGGGTGTCAGCTGGGATGTTGAAAGAGACTGTTTGGGATACAGGTTGTCCCATAAGGACAAGCCCCTGACGAGGCGTGGGCTATTGAGCATTGTGTCATCCATCTATGACCCCCTGGGATATGCCAACCCATTCATCCTGAGAGCGAGACTACTACTCCAGGAGCTGACAAGAATGAAGCTGGGATGGGATGAGCCAGTACCAGAAGAACAACGACAAAAATGGCAAGGTTGGTCAGAAGAGCTAGCAGAGATGAAGGAGTTTGAAGTTAACAGATGTGTGAAGCCACACGACTTCGGCAGAGTAACAGAATACCAGTTGCATCATTTTGCAGATGCCTCGGAGAAGGCTTATGGAGCAGTGTCCTACCTCGTCATGAAGAACGCAAGCGGTGAGCTACACAGCAGTCTGGTGATGGCCAAGTCTCATCTAGCACCATTAAAAACAATGACGATACCCCGTCTTGAGCTTGCAGCCGCAACTCTTGCTGCTAAGCTTGACGTTGCAGTAAAGAGAGAGTTAGATGTACAGGAACCAATCTACTCAACATTCTGGACAGATAGCACCATCGTACTGCAGTACATTAGGAGTACAGATGGGAGGTTCCGCACGTTCGCAGCCAACAGGATAGCTACCATACATAATGCATCAGAAGTAAATCAGTGGCATTATGTAGACACAAAATCAAACCCTGCTGATGACATATCAAGAGGGATGTCAGCTGATGAGCTAAAGAAGAACACAAGGTGGACGCAAGGACCAGAGTTCCTCCTAATGCCACGAGAATGCTGGCCGAAGGAACCAGAGGTTATGGAACCCCTAAGAGAGAGTGATCCGGAGCTCAAGAAAAGCAAGGAGCAAGTGCGGGTATTTGCTGTAGAGTCCGAAGAGAGCAAGCCGACGGACAAACTGCTCCAACACTACTCATCGTGGCACAGGCTAAAGAAAGCTGTGGCATGGATTTTGCGGGTGAGAGAGTACTTGCACAACAGAAAAGGATGTGTGCCAAGTGACGTAAAGAAGCCACTAACAGTAGATGATCTTGACAAGGCAGAACAAGCAATCATCAGACATGTTCAGTGGCAAGCCTTCACAGATGAATACCAGACACTGAACACAACTGCCAATCCCGTGAAGAAGTCCAGTCCTCTCTACAGATTGGACCCAAAAATCAACAGTGAGGGAGTGATGTGCGTCGGAGGGAGACTAAAGAACGCCAAATTGCAGACACAAGAGAAACATCCAGTAATCCTTCCAAAGAAAAATCATGTCGTCACACTACTAGTCAGAAAGTTCCATGATGCATCAGGCCATTCAGGAAGAGAACACGTCATGTCCTTATTGAGGCAGCGATATTGGGTGATTGGAGGACGAACCACAGTGCGTCAAGTGTTGCGTGACTGCTTTGTGTGTAAGCGCCTGTCAGCATCGCCCAACACCCAGAAGATGGCAGATTTACCTCAAGATCGAGTGACACCCGAAAAACCCCCATTTACCTATGTTGGGGTGGACTGTTTCGGACCATTTTTGGTCAAGCAAGGTCGGTGTCAACTGAAAAGATACGGTTGTATCTTCACCTGCTTAGCCATCAGAGCAGTTCACATCGAGGTTCTACACACTCTAGAGACGGATTCTTTCCTCAATGCGTTGCAGAGATTCATCTCAAGACGAGGCCAACCAGAAGTCATTCGGTGTGACAATGGCACAAATTTCGTGGGTGCCGAGCGTGAGTTGAGGGAAGGGATCAACCGCTGGAACAAGCAGCAGATTGAAGAGTATCTTCTCCAGAAGGAGATCAGATGGAAGTTCAACCCGCCAACGGCCTCTCATATGGGAGGATCATGGGAACGACAAATACGAACGACAAGAAAGATTCTGAACACACTGTTGAAGCAACAAGTGCTACATGACAAAAGTCTTTCCACCATGATGTGCTTGGTCGAATCCATAATCAATGGTCGCCCGCTGACTGTGGTTTCTGATGATGTGAGGGACCCTGAATGCCTGACACCCAACCATCTCCTGCTGTTGCGCCCATGCAATGCCTTTCCAGTGGACGTGTTCGAGAAACGTGACCTGTACAGCCGTAAAAGGTGGCGACAAATCCAGTATCTAGCAGACATCTTCTGGCACAGGTGGGTGCGAGAATACTTACCTACCTTGCAGCAGAGACAACGATGGAACAAGCCGATGAGAAACATCATGGCTGGAGATATCGTGGTCATCGCTGATGATCTACCTAGAAACCAGTGGTCCATGGGCAGAGTGGAGGAGATCTACCCTGGAGGAGACGGTCTGGTTCGGACGGCAAAGGTCAAGACCAAGTCAACCACTCTGGTGAGGCCAATTCACAAGCTGTGCCTATTGGAGTCGGTGAGTGAGGAGAGAACCGGATAGACACAGACAGCTACACACAGGAGCAACTTGCAACAGCTTGGCTATCTGCACCATGCAGTGCATTATTTGCCCAGATCACAGTATTCCTGCATCTGATGTGAGTTTTGGAAATTTATAAATCATGCTTGGAGTTATGATTTGAGGTGCGAGCCGAGCGCCGCCTCTTGTTATTTTAATTCAGGAAGGATCACGCACA